CTTTAAATCTGAACTTTAAAACTATCTTTACCACCTTCTCTGAACAGGGAACTTCCAATTTTATCAAGTTTTTTTTTTGCTTCTTTTTTCTATCTCCTCTTGTATCTACATAAGGTCAGATTTTTTTCGTATATACTTCAATCAAAATAATATATTGTATCACACTGAACGTAGAAATAGATAAAAAGCTCCAACTGTCTTTTATTAAGTTTCATATTAAAGATATGTGAAAAACTGTAAACCAATGTCATTTCCAAATTTTGCTTTCTTTTAGAAAAATGTAGTCTCCATAAACATGTCATTTCCTCTGGCCATTGGTAATGTGCAATGAATTTTTTACAATTTTAAAATAAATTAATAAATTTAAACACTTTTCTGCTTCAGCACTGTAAATAATCATAGACATACTCTGCAGTTTTTAGTTATTTTTAGGCGTATAAAGGAATCCTGGTAACCAAGTGCTTTTAAACCTTTTGGTTTAGACTGACTCTAGTGGTTCACACTCAGAAGAAGCTTCATGAACTTATGGTAACATGAACCTCTTTTACTTTAAGAAGGAAATGATTAGCTTAAAAAGAACTTAGAAAATTCAAGCAGGATTTTCCAAGCAGGATAGAAAAATGCTACTTCTTTTCCTGGCCCAAAGAAAAGACAGGCAAGGAGAGAACTCAGTTAATTATTCAGGAATTTCTTCCTGGATGATTTTGAGTTGTTGTCAAATTGCTGTGGTACACACAGGTCTCTGCTAGTAGGGTATAGAGATTCCACACTTGTTATGGTTTGTATCCAGTTGTCCCCTCAAAGCCTCATGCAGTCATGGGGTGGCTTCTGGAGTTTGTGATTGATTCTTCATCCAGTGTTGGGATTACAGGTGTGACACCACACCCTGGCCCTGGAGTGGGTAGTCTGCATTATAATGTAAGAAGGGAAGAGAGGTTAGCTAGCTGCCTGTGCTTCAGCCCCTTCCTTTGCTGTTTTGCTCTTTGCCACTGCCATGAACGTTGTCCTCTTCCATGTGTCATTCTGACTTGGAGCCAGCTGAGAATGGACTGAAATCTTCACTAACTCTGAGCTAAATGAACCTTTTTTTCCTTCATTTTGGGTGTTTGGTATTTGGTCCCAGCAATGAGAGAAGAGTAACTCAGACAACACTCCCACCCAATTCACATCTGTTAGCTGCCACCACTGAGGTCCCTTCTGTGAGCTCTTCTTTTTCCAGGGTGTACTGTACAACTTAGCATGGTACTGAACTGCAAGTCTCTCTGAAAACTTCAGGGGCATACATGATATTTCATACATCTTCTCAGCTTCTTATGGGTTCTTAACAAAATGCTGGGCACCAGCACATACTCCACACAAGCTTGCCAGCTTACCAGTCAAGATGAAGGGAGAATAAAAACACTCCATTTATATGTTTCTCTGCATCCTGCCATTTCCTTCTCTGAACGCCAGTTTTGTAAGAGCATATGCAGACCTAAGCTTCAGAGCCAGAGGCTCTGCTTTTATCTGAGCTCTACCACTTCCAGGATGAGTCACCTGGGGAGCTGTTTCTTGATCCCCTTGAGGACAGCTTTGTACACGCTAAGTTGCTAGACTTTGTTTAACCTAGAAGGCATTCAACAGAGGTTGGGTTCTGTATTGGTCAGTTTTTCACTGCTGGGACAAAATATCTGACTATACAACATAAAAGAGAAAAGATTTATTTTGGCTAACAGTTTCAGAGGTCTCCGTCCTTGACTGGTTGGCCCAAAGGCAGAAGCATGAGGGCAGAAGGACATGGTGGAGCAAGGCTGCTCACCTCATAGCAGTTGGGAAGCAGAGAGTCAGGAAACATGACTTTGATGGCACAGCCCCAGTGACCTATGTCCTCCACGGAAACCCCACCTCACTCAGCTATGAACCCATCAGTGGGTTGATCTATTGATGAGGTACTGCTCTCGTGATTGAACCACTTTTCCAAAGTTCATCTTCTCTGGGCAAATGAGATCCAAAGCATAATAGTTTCCTTATCTGATTTCCCCCTTTTTCTGTAGGATGCTTGTAATTATCAAGAAGGTGCTGACCACAAAGTATAGCTCAAAGCATTCATTAGCTGCTGAGAAGTTAACTGTGTCTGGTTCAGTCCCTTTTCCTCTGTGTTCAGTATACTTAGAATGGACAGTACACCTTATTCAGCCAAAACACATGTGCTGTAAAATTACTTATCACTAAATCATGACAATGTCACATCTGTTTATTTAACCATCAAGTTAATACATTTAGCCCAGTTATTTTCTCTATATTTTCCTAAAATACTTTTTTATTTTCCTTGGATTGAGACTCATCTATTCTCCTTCTTTCCATTTAGACCACTGTGCCTTCCAGCCTTATTTTCTTCCTTTCCTTTCTCTATTTTCTTTACAAGTCATGGTTGATTTAGGGTAGGCAGTTTTCTAGCAAAAAATCAATAGTCTATATGAATCAGGAAATCTAAATTGCCTAGGATTTTCCTGTGGCCCACAGTGTTCTTTTATCTTCCATGGAAACTCATAATTTAGAACAAATTTCCAAGAATTCACTGAGGGCTCAGTGATAGAATGCTTGCCTAGTATGTGTGAGGCCCTGGTTCTATCCCAAGCATTGGTAAAACAAAATGAACAAATAAAAAAAAATTATTGAAAAGTTTCTTGAAGGGAATGATGCATATAAAGAAAAACTGCAGCAGGGATCACATTTCCTCAACTAAAGCTATTTGGTCTTTCTCTGCCTCTTAGTAGCAAAGAATTGAACGTAGAGTCTTGTGAGTGTGCTGGACAAGTGCCCTACCTCTGAGTGCCCCAGCCCAAAACCTACAGCTTTAACTGAGAAGATCACAGGCTAATTAGTGAGGATGAAGGAATTCCCCAAAAAGGCTAGGACAATTCATATTAGAATAACTCAGGGTCTTTAAAAACACATCCTTAGAGACTGGGTATGGTGGCACACACCTGTAATCCCAGCACTTGGAGGGCTGAAAAAACAGGAGGATCACTGTGAGTCTGATCTGTGGAATGAGACCCTATAGATCCTGTACTAAAATACATAATAAATGAATAAATAAATATAAAAGTAAAAACACCTCCTTAGTTCCTTTACCCAAGGATTCTGATTTAGGAATTTGAAGTTGAGTTCACTGATAATTCTTCTGCACACTTCTGAAGAACCAGTTTGACACTTCCACATTCTCAAAGCGTATCTGGCATAAAGCCATTTCATGCTGATTTTATCATTCCACATTGATTTTATCATTTTGCTTGTAAAATGGACAGAAACAAACACTTTCTTCCAGAAAGTTGCCTAAAATTTCAGTCTCCCTGGCTGAGGCAGAACCAGACATCAGCTATGGGTCATGGCCAAAATTGAAGCAAGATATTCTTGGTAGGGGCCAGGGAGATGGCTCAGTGGAATAAGTGCTTCCTTGGCAAGCGCAACAGCCTGAGTTCAATCCCCGGTTCCGAAAAAAAAAAACCTAAAAGATATTCTTGGCATTGGAGTTCACCTCTGATTTCTGAAAATGAGGTCCAGGTGAGCAGCCACCCCATGGTTGAGGGCCGACAGGTAAGTATGGCCTTGAGAAGGCAAAGGGCTCCCTCCAGTGAGGAAGGGCGAGGACAGAGAGGGTGGCGTTGGAGCTGTCTATGTTGAACGCTGCCCCTTCCGAATTAGATATTGTACATATTTTAACATTTGCAAAACACAATAATGGGGCTGGTGAGATGGCTCAGTGGTCTAAAGCACCTACCTAGAACAAGCATAGCAAAGCACAGGGACCGCGGTTCAATCCCCCAGCACCACATGCCAGCCAGCACCGCCCCCGGTGGGCTGAGCTGGCCACACACACACACACACACACACACACACAAATAAATGATGCGCATAATGTGAAATTGGAGCAAAGTTCTCACTTCCTTAGAGAAAAAGATGTAGTCTTTTAGAGAGCTGTCAATAAAGATCTAAGTATTGCTTCTAAGGGCAAGCCAGCCCCAAAGCTCTGAGTCCTGAAAGTGCTTACTGACATTTTCTTTCTTTCTTTTTCTTTTTTTTGGTGGGGAAATGTGTACTGGGAATTGAACTCAGGACCTTTAACTTGCCAGGCAGGCATTGTGCCACTGGGCTATATCCCCAGCCCTGACATTTTCATATGCATAGATGGATGGTGCATGGTGAGAATGCAATATACACAACATATGGACCAGCTTTTTTTGGGAATTCTGAGCTTTGGAGAGGACCCTACCACAGCCTGCAGTAACATACAGCAGGTTCCAGCTCCAGGTGGATCCAGGCGACAAAGGACAGAGAGAGCCACAGAAGCACAGCTCCTAGAACAGGGAGAGCTGGCTCAGTCTGATCCAGGATTTTGTTCCTTCCCTGCTGGGCCAAAGCCAAACACCTGGCTCCATGTGTGTTAATCAGGATGACATGTGGACCTGGGTTTCCAGCCAATGGGGCTCATGGTTGTGATTTAGATCTTTTAGTCACCTCAAATTAGGGAAGGAATGTTACCCTCTCTCATACACATAATCCTGTTATGGTATTGTCTTTACAACCTCCTGGCTAGAAACAAACCTTACTAGCATGGTCTTAAAAAGAGCTATTATTGACAGCGTTCCACCACATGAGATAGAATACCTTAGTTATTTGTGTATAACATCTCTCTCCAGGAAAAATAATATTCTTTCAAAGTCCTACAACATAAAAATAACTTTAGAGGAGAGAAGAAACTAAAATATAAAGTATCTTTTCTGTTCGTCCAAGTAAATCTCAGTATATTTAAACTGAAGTGCGATCAGGAAAACTGGGTTTCTCAGGATCTCAGCACTAGAAGCAGCCAGAGCCCAGGGCCAGCTGTCCCTAGCCACAAGCTCCTTCCCAGGAATACAACAGATCTGAACATGCAGTACAATGAATGCCATCTTCTAATGAGTCACACTGTGAAAAACATTGTTATGCCCAAACTCACCTATGTGTTCTCTTCACCCTAGCTGTACCAGAAGTGATGCTGCCACTTATCAGATCTCTGCTAGAAGCTGCCTGGGGATGATTTGCTGCTCTGCCTCCATCGAGGTCGAGTGCCCCGCAGAGAACCCACAGCAGCCTCCTAACCTGGGAGATGGCAGGGATGCAGGCTGGAAACATGGAACAGAGACCTGTGAGAAGGGATGCACAAGCCCAACCCAGGGGAAGGAACACCGCTCTACAGAAGAACAAAATATGTCCATGGCAGCTCCATCATTCGGAGCTGATTCCTCCCCACCCAACCTCAACAGCTTATGCGACCCCCAGTTACTGGCCAATAACGACATTGCTGAAGCCAGGTCAGAAGATCCTCTGGATGAAGAAACACAGCTAGCAGCAGAGATTTGTGATCCAAATAACACAGAAGAAAATTTCCTTAATTCAAATAATATTTCCTCAAACCACCACAGTGCAGTACCTCCTCCAGTTGCACGGTTAATGGATGACAGCCTAAATGATGGCCCTAATGACCAAGTCTTAACCTCAGGTCATCAAAAGCCCAAAGCTCAGAAATACATCAGCTTCAGCCTTCCGCTGTTGGAGGCAGCTGCAAGCATTTGCCCAGGTGAGAGCACTTGGATCAACAAGCAGCCCAGTCCCCAGGTTTCCAGCGAGGACTCTGACAGCGATTATGAACTTTGTCCGGAGATAGTCCTAACTTACACTGAGGAGTTTTCAGATGATGACCTGGAGTATCTGGAATGTTCCGATGTTATGACGGATTACTCTAATGCAGTTTGGCAAAGGAGCCTGCAGGGGAGTGAGCATGTTTTTTTATTAGAAAGCGATGACGAAGAGGTGGAATTCAGTGAGTGTATCCTAGGTGGGTGTGAGCACTTCCTCCGTGAAATGGGTTGTGGTCCTTGGGTGTCGGGTGACACAGGGCCTATGGATGCCACCACTGGCTTCTGTGCTTATCAGTCACAATCCCAAGAAGTGGGGGTCAGGAGCAGCAATGCCTCCAGCCACACTCCACTGTCCCTGAGCACAGGGATGGCTCTTACTCTTGGACCTCGCCAGGATGGAATGACTACGGTGACAGGGCAAGAGAGTTGTCCACTCCCCACTGCTTCTGAGGCTGCTGAGAATGATTGTCCAGGAATTCAAGAAGAAACCAGAGACAGCCTCCAAGCAGGAGAGGAATTTGCCAGTGACAATCTGCAAGCTATGGATAAAGTGGCAACAGAGCTGGAGATGAAGCCCTTGTCTGGGGGGTTGGAAAGGCCAGGGATGAAGCATAGTTTGGAGACCATGGTGGAGGGAAAAGCAGAAGAAAAGGACCTAAGCAGCCAAAGAAGCAGCCAGAAATCTGCCAGGGGGCGGCGACCCCGAGTGAAAGGAAAAGCCAGGAAGCTGACCCTGAACGAGAGTGCAGCAGCAGGCACCCGGAATCCTCCTCCCAAGGGACCCACTCAGGCTTCACTGATGCGGAGCCATCAAGAAGAGGCTCCTCGTGCCACAGCAGGCATTCCTGGCTGGAATTCCCACTTCCTTGAGGGAGAAAGTGCTATTTTGTCTCCTGCAGAGCAAGACACAAAAACCTTACAACCGTTGGCAGGCTGGCTGTCCAAGGAAGGGGACACAGCCTTCCAGGGGGAAAGGCTGAGTGTCAGTAACTTACTTGAAACAAGCCAGGCTCCAAACCAGAATGACCATCCACAGGTAAGACCCATTTTTAAAACTTATAAGAGAAAAAGTGGTGTGTGTGTGTGTGTGTGTGTGTGTGTGTGTGTGTTTCCCTTCACTTCACCACTGGAATTCCTGCCACATAATGTAAATCAAAATAAGCCTCCCAGGACCGTAAAGGTACTTGTAAATGACAGCGGCTGCTGCTAGGAAGGAAATCTCGTTTTGAAAAAAGTCCCAGATAAACCCTAAGCCATCCTAATTATAGCAAAACACTGATAGAAGCAAGAGGCATTAATGGGACAGTCTGGACAGCTGGAAAAAGAAATCTGATATTTTGTCCACTGCATGTGCTTTACTAGGCAAGTTTCGCTCTTCAGAAAGTTTCTAGAGCAAATGTTTTGAGTGTAGCCTTAAAGGGAAAAAATATTATTTTTGGTCATTTTGGGGGTACACTTCGAAAATGGCACGTTGGGGCTTTAATCAGAACTCATAGTACAAACAAAAGGACACCTATGTCTGAAGGACCTACAGGATCCGCTTGTAATGCTGGAGAAAGTAAACAAAGTCAGTTGTGCGGCAATGAGGGGATGTTTTTGATTGGCTATTCGATTTATTTTGCTTTTCTGAGACCACAAAATATAAAAGAAGCCAAAAAAAAAATTGGAAGGAAATTTATGCTCCCTTAATAATGATAGGGCAGTAACTTAAAAAGATGGAATTAATAGGAATAGTTAGCACATGAAGAATACTGTACTTAACATATCTACATACCTACAGTTTTAATTTTGTTTTTATATTAAGGGGATTCAAATGGGCTTTGCACTGGTGCTGACTATAAACTAGACTTTGGCTTTTGCAAACTATCTTTTAAAGGTTATGCAACAATTATTTTTAGTATACTTCATGTCTTTCTTTCTGCAAGCTTGTAATGGGAATCTTGTATTTTTATAGAAGACTAGAGCATCCAAAGGAGTCCAAATATTTCCCAGTACAATTTCTTCAGCTTTGTCTTCGAAATAAAAAAAAAACTAATACACTGATTTCAAAACAACTTGTTATGAAATAACTCATCTGAAAATCTCCAACTCCTAGGAAGCTTTTGACTGAGATGTGTTTTTCTAGTCAAATTTCCCAGATAAAATTGCAGTTGTATAGTTTTCTTTTTGCATGTGAGCCTGTTGGATGCTATTTAGTTCTTTAAATATGCTGCTTAGAAACTCACACATGGGTGACCATAGATTCATGCCCAAGACGAGTTTAAAGAGTCAATGTTAAGTTTTAATGTGGATAGATGCAGCATTTCTTTTCTATTCATAAAATTATTTTCCATGGTGAGTGCCTTTTTGCAGCTCTTTATCCACTGAGAATATTCCATTGGACAAATTGCTTTTATTATTAAAGGTCGAGGGTGAGAAAAAGTGGCCCGAAAGTAGTAAGTGGAGGGAAAAGAGGCTACTGACAATGTCAGTCATGGGAGATGATTTCTAACTCTTCCAATGCTCCAATGCTCAAAACTTCAAGGAGCAGGAGGGAGGGATCCTGTTATCATCCTCAGCCTATGCCTAAACTGAATTCTGAGATCAAAGCCCCTGTGAGCAGCAGGCTCGCTCATTTACTGGCAGTGCAATTAAATAAAATGGACCATTTCTAGTAAGGTTGTCTAATGTGTGCAGTCTCTGGACAATCTAATGGGACATTGTTACTTAACTATTCTCTCATATACATTCATGAGTACATGCCCATCTCCTCATCACCTGTGCTATGTCATGTGACTAAGACAGTTCTCTCAGAACTGCACACATTCCTATTCAGAAAGTTAAATAAGAGCTTGTGTCTTTTGCAAGAAAGGGACCATGTCTCACCTTGCAATGCTCAGTAGTAGAGCTGACCTCTCACTCAAGGGACGCAGAAATTTGAATGGGACTTGGACATGCTGGAATAGTTCTCTGCAACCTTATGCTAAAAATAGAACTTCTGGGCAAACTGTGGCATTTCTTTTTCTTGACTAAAGCTGCAAAATTTGGCCACAGGGTCTGGCATATTTAAAAATGCAGACTCTTTTACCTATATAAAATGTTACTATTTATTTTTAGCACACATCAGGAAAACGAACTCAAAACCAAGGTGAAGTCACTATACAATATGGCCACAGTGATAGCAAATGGTTAATTATTATTGCAGATGGGATACAGCAAAGTAGGAGTCATTTGCAACTTAGTTTTCATAATGCTGTCCAGAAAAAAAAAATGCTAGTGCATCTTACCACAACTAAATCCAAAGACATTTTAACATTTATTCTCAGATCTTTGAGGCTGTGGGCAACTACAAATTTTAAATGGTTATTTCTGAGTTAGGGTTAATATTAATAAACTTGCCCATTCTAGAGTCTTGCCTGATTTACTTACCTTGAGCTGTCTTTCTGCAGAAATAGTGATTAACAGCTTATCTTTTAGCATATCTTCATCACATATTGCTTTTAGCATCTTGAGAAAAAAATCCATTTTTCCAATTTAATTTTCTGACCTAAAAGCAGAGCCTTTTGCAAAATTTTTCCTAACTAAAAAGATGTCGTTAGGTGTGTTTTTCCTCTCTCTCTCTCTCTCTCTCTCTCTCTCTCTCTCTTTCTCTCTCTCTTAGTATAAGGCCATCTTGCTATAGTTTGTTTTGAAGTAGTATTCACCCAGGCTAGGGTTGGAAAGCCCCCAGTTTCCCTACATTTATGGAAGATTCCAAAGTTAATTCCTGTTTGGGAGTGGAAAATACAGGGTACCCCAGGCTAACTTGGATCTTTTTCAAGGGTCACACTGCCAACTCTTCTTCTTGGTTTTGAGTTCTCTGACTCAACTCCGAGGCATGGTCTGCCAGTCTTCTCATCTTAAGTTTCTTTCTCTAGCCACCCTGGGGTAAGATCATCCTCACTCCTAAATCAGAAATACTCTGTGTGCCCTTCCGTAGAGATGGCTAGCTTCATCCTAGAGAGTTTTGCATTTGTTTGGGGTCCTGAAATTCTAAGTGTACAGCATGGAAATGGATTCTCTGGTTCTGGGAGCTGAGAGTCTTTCTGATCAGGGGTAATCACTAAGCAAACAATTAGACTCCATATGGAAGGAAATTTGCTTAGTGTGTTCTGTCATGGATAAATCTGAAGTTCTCGGAATCGTGCCCGCCACTTGCTAGGCATTGAATAAGTATCTGTAGGGTACAAGATTGAATGCCTAGTTGGTGTTATTCCAGTGGTCATTTCTCCAGCCACTCAACAGTCTTCGTTTCCCTGAGCACGTTCTTAGGTTGCCTTCACATTCAAGAGCTGCCACCAGCTCCCTACTTGTGGCGCAGACACTTCCTTCTGCTCTTTCGGCCTTGGGTGTGGATTAGTTCATTACAAAGACCACCCATGCCTTGCACTTGGGTTCCTTTGTGCATGCTGGGGGCGCACTACAACCGTGGCTTTTGTTCCTGAAGGCTGGTTTCTCACCTACTTTTAATTGAAGTTTTTTTTTTTTTTTTCTTCTGTATTTTTAGGGAAGGATCTACAGGGTGTTCAGGGTCTCCCTACTACATCATCGGACTCATAGTGATCCGCCTGTTTACAGCCTCCTAAGAGCTGGGATTACAGGCATGTGCCACCACGCCCGGTCTCAATTGCTATCTCAGCGCGCCCTGGGGGCAGGGTCTGCTGGCTGGCCCGGTGATCTACCTCAGTCCCTGAGTCTCCTTGCAGGTGCTTTAATCTGCTGAGCTGTTTGGCCAGCCTTTAATTGAAGTTTTTATTAAGTCAAATTCACATGCACATGTAATTGTAGGAAATAATAAGGAGAGATGGCCATACACTTTGTACAGCGTCCCTTAGTGATAACAGTTTACGAAATGACTGTATAATATCACAACCAAGATGAAGACTTTGGTACAATCTTCTGAGCTTACTCAGATTTCCCCAGTTTTACTTGTACTCGTGTGTGTATGTGTGTGTGTGTACACTTACCAAGATCTATATTGGGGATGGGGGTTGGCTCTGTGGTAAACAAGGTCTTGGGTTCAGTCCTCAGCACTAGAAATATAAACTATAGGTATTTATACCTATAAACTATAGGTATTTAATAATCTATTACCAGAGCCAAGATATTGAACAGAGATAGAGAAGTCTTTGGTTAGCCCTAGACATTGAAGATAATTTTTTTCTATCAGTTTCACAGCATTAAATCTATTATTCATTTTAAATTAATTTTTGTTGAAAGTATAAAGTTTATATTAAGATATATTTTATCATTTTTTTGCCTAGGGCTGCTCCATTCTTCCAACACCATTTATTAATAATGATTTATAGAATTTTGTATTTTTAAATTAACTTCAATGGTACATTAGTGATACTCTTTTTAAACAAGGAATTGAACTCAAGACCTTGGGCTTGCTAAGCAGGCTCTGTGCCACTGAGCTATACATAAAGATGATATTCATCATAAGGAATTTGTACCTGGACATAATATATCTTGGTGTTTCTTTTTCCCCCATTCCCATTCCCCTCCCCTCCCTTCAACCTCTCTTCCCTTCATTTACAAAAGCACTGTTTCCATTTTTTCCTTCTAGTCTCTTTTTTTTCCTGTTCACTTCCTACCCTTCCTCTCTCTTCCCTTCTCCTCTTCCCATTTGAACACTTTTATCCCAACTGTTCAATATCTGTAGTCCATTTGGGTCCTTATTTATACTTTCAGTTTCTCACACAAGAGAATCAATGCCATATTTAAACATATGTGTCTGATTTATTTCAACTTAGAAAAGCGTCTCAAGGTGCACACATTGACCTAAAAATGTCTCAATTTTATCCTTCTCTCTGGCTGAGTATTATTCTATCGCATATAAAAACCACATTTTCTTTATCCCTTCATCCACTGATGGGCATCTAGGCTGTTTCTAAGATTGAGCAATTACAAAGTGCGCTGCCATAAACATGAATGTGGGGCTGGCAAGATAGCTCAGCAGACTAAGCATCTGCTTAGGCAAGCACAGGGATGGGGGTTCAATCCCCAGTACTACAT